ATACATAAAAGAAAATCAAAGAAACAAGGAATAGTCCCAAAAAAAGTTCATATATTTGTACAATAGTCAGTAAAGTGGAGCAAATATCGGCACAAATGTTGGGTACAGTTGAAACAAAACACACATACACAGAAAAACACACCCACACACACACACACACACAGAATGCCTGAAGAAGAAAATACCAATATACAAAAAATTTAACGATAAAAACTAAAACAAAAACTAAAAAAAAAAAAAACAAAACTAATAATATGATGAGTAAATGAACAAAATTTTATGGTTTTTGAAACAAATGTTATCGATTAATTGTAGCCTGTAGCCAAAAGAAAATGAATATGAAAAGAAAACGCAATTTCGCAATTTGTTTCCCAAAATTTCTCCCAAATAGTTAAATGCCTGTGCGAGTGTATGTGTGAATGCAGTGCGCATTATTGACTCATTACTATTATAATTGTCATGATTATTGTCATTATTATTATTGTCATATTGAACAAGTTGAATTTTTGTGCCACGCCCATTTAACATTTACCACGGGCCGTGGTCGATGTTTATCGCAAATAACTATACAAAAAACAAAAAAAACAAAAACAAAGACGAAGAAGAAAAAAATAAAAATAAAACGTTTTTTTTTTTTTCCTCAACAAAACGTTTCCACAAACAATGCTAATGAGAAATGGAAGTAACAAACGCAATTAGCAACTAAACAAAAGAAAAGCAACAAAAGCAAAATCATAACACAACAAAAAATGGTCAATAAAAATCAAAATATTGTTTATTAGACAAATAAATGTATTTTTTGGCAAACTGATTTTCATATGGGACATCGGGTGTATGGGATGAGAATTGCAGGTATATCATCTCGGTGCTCTTCTATGCAATTCTCAAATGATGGTCTACCCCACTGAGTCAGTCACACCTAAACTCACTCTGCCTTTGATTAGTGCGAACAGCTGTTCTCAACTCAATTGGAGTGAAAGTATAATATATCAATATCAAAAGCTGGGCCTGTCGTAAAGCTCATTTAGTTGCATTCGTGGGCAATAGCTGATTAGTCGTAGTGTGCTGGCAGTAATCCAGTATTCTATACCCGGGGTAAGCATTGAGAAATGTCCATTATAATAAGAAGAATAGCAATCATAATCATTATCATTATCATTATTAGCTTCTTCATAATTAGCAATAATATTATTAATTAATACTAATATAGTTTTCATAATCATCATCACCTCAACAGCATCATCCAACAACGATTTTATAATTGCTGTCATTATCATTATGATTATGATTAACAAATTGTCATTAGAATCATTTGATAATGAATTTATATCTATATCAATTTAGTTTTTCAAAAGTACTAAAAAGATCGGAGAATTCTCTCACAACTTAAGCTAGCTCTTAATTTAGTTAAATACTGTTATTTAGCATACATACTAAGCTCAGCTTTTTTGCGTAACTGAACTTGAATGACAATGATTGCTAATTGTTTTTGTCTCATTATTTTTTTTATTATTGAGTGCACTTGGAACTTTTTCAAGTTCAGGCAAATCGGTTAGGGCTAGGCTAGGCTACGCCCGGCCTAGTACTTGAGCGGGAACCGCCTTCATTGCTCGAGTTCGAGTTCGAAGCACTTCGGACGTCACGCACGCCCACAAGGGGAATCACAGCCAAGGCTGATGGGCATCCAATACACGTACCGCTCACAGCTGACAAACGCTTCACGTACAGTTCTATTTCAGGGCGATGATAAGGGGGGGGGGGGGGCGTGGTGCGATCTAGGCTGACATTGATGTGTCGAGTCGGGCTCTCTGACGCATTCTGCGAAGCGCAAACCTCAAGCTTCAGCCGCAAATTAAAATTTGTTGCGACCGCAATTAAGTTAATCGCGCTAACATTGTTGTTGTTGTTGTTATTATTATTGTTATTATTATTGTTGTTGCTTTGCTTATAGCATGTTCTCAGGCTTGTGCAAATTGCTTATTCATATTTAAAGAAAGTCAACAATTCGTTTTCATGTTCTCACAAACGCAGGCCAATTACCTTCCTCTTTATACAAATCAGTGAAATATACCGAAGCTATCTATATATAGTTTGCTTTGGATACCCTGTGAAAATAGCTACTGGGTTGCTCGACGCTGTTTCAGTTGGGAAGAAGCTCGTCAAGTCTCATATAAAGATCGTTTCTCGTTTCGGGTTGAATCTGTATTAGACTATTTTAAACTGTTATATACAATGGCTCGAATCATAAATTCAAACCTCATTTAACTCATGCCTAATTTTCTCTGGTATCAGAGGGAGTTTGAGCTTACAATGTTATAAACTGTTATACACAAGATCTTATCATATTATAGGCTGAAACACCATTCAGCTTGTATAACAATTGGTAAGCCTCTCTTTAAAACTGTTATAAGCTGTTATATACACAATTTCAATTCACATTGAAGATCTATGTATTGTCTTGCATAAGAATTGAGTTCTTTGAAACTGTTATAAACTGTTATACGTGTCATAATCAACTTTAACTCTGCAATGCAATTTACTGCTTTGCCTGACAATTGGTTGTCCCTTATTTCAAACTGTTATAAACTGTTATACACAGGTTCGGTAAGTATAATTCGATACTAGAATATCTGGGCAGCTACCCACTTTTTCGCTTTCAGTAGATGAGTTCATAATAAACTGTGACTCAGTGTTGTTCAACAGGTGTTTGCTATGCCAAACAAACTCTTCTCTTAACGCCACTTGAATATGTGGCGATGTTTTCATTTTTCTATTTTGGCTAATTAGTTGGGCGTGTTCTGGGCATTAAATCATTTATATGGATCCATATGCTGTTGGGTCTGCTGTCGTGCTGAGTGTCGCTCAAGTCGTGCAGCTGTATGGGAAATTAGGAAATTTGTCATTCGCGTTCCACTAAATACATATATATGTACGTACATATGTACATATATCTCACGGAAATACACATAATGAGTGGGCTGAAAAGAATGTACCGAACGTATTACTAATATGTCATGGAACATGGGATAGGGCTAAATACAACATGAGAATCATGACTTTGATCTTCAATCCCCATTATTATTCCTATAAATGTTATGGATACTTAAGATTCGATTATTATAATGCCCTCTCTATTAAGTTGTCTCGTAGATCTACTTTAGACACTTTGTAAATTCCAATTCGACATCTTATAATCAGCTCTACAATAATAGCTATGATCATGTTGTCTAGTCTTTACACTGCCCACAATTAGATCGTTCAGCTTTGATGTCTGTCTGTCGAAAAAATGTTAAGCATGGAAAATGTGCACTGGGAACGGTGTTAATTACGGTTTAAGGTACAAATACTTTTTATTGCCCTGCACGTCAAGTATTCTATCTCTCTCACTCTCTCTTTTCTAAACACTTTTTGGCAATTAAATGAAAAGTTTTTTACTTTTAGTTTCAATTCAAGTTCATTTTAGACTTGAGGAGAGTCTAGTTCACTTCACACTTGCGGGTGGAATTAGTACAGTGAGTCTATTAGAAAAAGCTAGCTGAGGCTTTATACTCGTATAAGGTAAGTCTAGACTGGATTGAGTTTATGGCTTAGAAATTTTTGAAAAGTGTTTTGATATGTAATCAAAATTTATATGCATACTCGAATCGAGTTATTTAGTATTTGAATCGAGTTATTTAGTTTTAGGTGTAAAATTCAATTTTCTATCAAGTTATAGAAGTTATAGAGGCAATGCTACCTCGAAAATGTAATGAAATATAAAGCTCTTAAAAAAATTGACAAGACGTACTAAATTTATTAACAGTAACTTGCTAATTTTGACTTAATCAGCTGTTAAAGTATAGCTATACAAAATAATATCACACTGATGGGTCACCCTCTAAATTCCGTTCAGCTGCTAATAACAGAGTATTTAAGCGTCGCATATTGCCGCTTTGCTGAATTCTCAATACACATCTCATATATAAACAAATAAGATGAAAAGATGTAAATATTAGAAAGAAAGAGGAGTAAACAAATCTTTTATATAACCATTCGAAGAAAACATTTGCGATGAATTTCTGTTTGGTTTAATCACCTCACTCCATCAGCACGTAGTTCCAATGATTATAGCAAAATTAATTAATAGCTGTGAATTTGAGTATACCCTGAACCCATAGAGAATGGAAAATCAGGGTATATTGGTTTTATGAAAATTCATGTAGCAGGCAGAACGAGGCGTAGGTGCCATAAAAGTATAAATATTCCTCCGATCGTCCATATGATCGCACCGATCTCGTAAATGACAACAGCGTAAGACTTGAAATTTTGAATGTAGGCTCGTCTATACTAGATCTAGTACAAAATAATAATTTGATCGATAAGCATTGCTAAAAATCGATAACTTGACTTGTTCTTTAGCATATCTGACTACAGTAAACGCTGAAAATTTCAGATCGACTGCATTTGCTGCATTGCATTGTCAGCTCTTGGCGGTGTTCAGGGTATTTTCCAGTCGAGTAGAGACGTTTAGCAATATTATTTGCTCCGTTGCTCGCTTCCTCTGTCTCACTCCCTATTAATTTGCTTCTCGAATAAATCCCATTACTTTAGAAGTTTCCAGACTATATTCTCATATCAGTTGGAGTGAGAAAATTCGATCACATGCCTTTTTTTGGTCATTTATTGCTCACAGTTCACAATTTGGTATTTCACATCTATAAATAAGGCTTAAAAGTAATATTAAAAAAAAAAAAAAAACAAAATATTTTATATATATAAAAAAAAGTTATCAACTTTAAGATCTCGCCGCCAGCAGTGCTAGGCACAGGGCCACGCCCACTGACGCTGCGGTCGCTGCGGTTGGTGAGGCGCCGTTTCTGTAGCCATAGTTGTTCAGATAGCCGGGCGGCGGGGGCATGGGCTGGCCACCGTTGTAGGAGAAGGGTCGTCCATGCTCGTCGGTGCCGCTGACGTAGTAGGCGCCATTGCCGCCCGCCCCGCCGTAGGGGCCACGCGCATCGATGCCCGCGTAGCCGTAGCCATACTGAGGATCAGTGCTGCCCAGGCTGCCGGGTGGATGCATGCCGGGTGCGCCTCCGGCGTGGGAATTCGACCAGGCACCAGCGCCAGCGGCATTGCCCGCATTCCAGGTGACGCCGCCGCTCTGGGCGCTCGCTGCGATAACAGAGGAACAGAGGAATGGAACACGTTAACACTGATAATCCTTGTTGGCATTCGCTAGAGCTGGAGCTGGAGCTGGAACTGGAGCTGGAACTGGAACTGGACTTACCTGAAGCGAGGCAGGCGATCAGCAGACAGCATATTCCAATACAACTCCGACGATCGGTTAAAGACATGTTTCGGCTCTGGCCAACTAACTGCAACTAATTCGCTGGCGGCATCACGTCAACGGTTTTAAACTGGTTCCCAAGCCCACCCCAACCTCTGCCCCTCGCTCTGCTCGAACTTGTTTTGCTTGCCTGAACTGCGACTGCAAATATTGTTGTTGTTCAGCGAGTCATCATCATTGTTGTTGTTGTTGGTGTTGTTACTTTTAATTGTTTAGCTGCTCATTGCTATGCCCTTACCAGCGGGTATAATCGCCGTGTCACGAAACACGAATCGGCGCAGCGATCAAGATAAGCCCCAACGAGCCGAAATCATTGCATTTGTTTCATATGTAGGTTTAGCTATAGGTATTGTATATTCGATATGTAGTTCATATGATCATCAGTTCTTCTTCTTGTTTACTCATTGCTCATTATTCAGAATTTAGACTAGGGTATACATATGTACAATATGTATATACTATATAGGCAAAGCAAAAGGGAATATTAATAATAGCAATTGATATCGATATCAAATTTGATATGTGGATTCTGTAAGCAAATGGTACTGACTGCTTACTACTCGCTCCACTCTAAGAATTGGGGAACGTGCATAAGAGAGAGGGAGTGAAAGAGGGTAAAGGAGAGAGAGATAAAGAGAGAGAGAGAGCGAGATAGAACAGGAGAGAGCAGGAGATTGAGAATGAGGAAGAGATAGAACAGCCGATGGATAGATAGGGAGAAAGAGAGAGAGAGAGAGAGAGAGAGAGAGAGAGAGAGAGAGAGAGAGAGAGAGAGAGAGAGAGAGAGAGAGAGAAGAGAAGAGAAAGATAGGAAGGAACAGATTGAACAGGAGATGGAGAGAGGGAGAGAGAGAGACAATAAGAGAGAAAGAGAAAGAGAGAGAGAAAGAGAAAGATGGCGATGGAGCAAGAGATAGATTGGAGATTTATGTAAATGAATATACATTCATATATATACATATATATATAGAGTGGAACTGAGAGAAAGAAAGAGGGCTAGGGGAGGAGCATGAGGTGGCGAAACGAAAAAGGAATAGGAGAGATATGGAAATCAAAATGCGAGCTAGAGTAAGCGAGAGTGTGAGAGGCAGAGTGAGGAAGAGATAGAGGGAAGAAGAGATGCGTATATATGTGTAGGGATAGAGAGGTAGAGATAAAAGAAAATCAGTGTGCTCGCTTTCCCCTCGCTCAACGATCATTAGAAAAAAGTATTCAAGCAATTGAAAGTCTTTCGATGATGAGAAATTCTAAAACGATACATCTTCGAGCAAGAGAGCATCACATATTCCGCTTGAGCACAACAATTTTGGTAGATTGTATAAAGTACTCCATAAAGTAGCTAGAGCTCATCACTTATAGAGCATCGACTATTCGACTTTCAAGGCACTGCTGTTCTTACATGATTTTTGTTTATGTTTATTTTTGTATTTTTACAATACGAAACACGCAAATTTTTGTGTAAATCTTTTGTTGTTGTAATCTGTACGAATTTACGTGAGATACGCGAGTTTTTTTCCGGTATAGAACACGTTAATTTGTTGGCTCATTAATGATATGCATGACGAGGCGATGAGACGAGAATATGAGAACACAAACATACATACATACATACACACATAATACATACATACATATACGGCGATATAATCTGCATATATTTGGGTACAGCTGCTACAGTTCTCTCCATATTGAGAAGCTCGAGAAGCGTATTTCGTATGGCAGCGATAAATATGGCGGCTATATGCGAGGCGGAATGCACGCCCACGCATCCCTCGGATTGTATAATAAGCAAATACAAGCAAACAATTGCCAGGTATTACTCTTACTTTTACTTTTAGATTTGAAACAGCCGGACTGGTTGACTTGTTAGCACTTTTCGACCGCCAGAGAGTAGGGGTAAGAGTAAGAGAGAGAAAGGGAGAGGGACAGCGAGAGCTAGAGCGAGAGCGAGAGGGTGAGAGAAACAATGCGGCCGCCTTGTTGTTCAGACAAATATTTGTGTCTCTTGTTGAATCACGAAAATTTGTTTACTTTCTATGCGACTTGTTGTTGAGGCGACTTTACGTGAACCTAGGCTGAAATGACAACATAAATAGGTCACTCCACATGTCAACAGGTACAAATTCGCAGCGAGCTCGTAGCTGGCAATGGCAATGGCAATGACAATGACAGCTCCGCTGTCTCTGCTTAGCAAAGATCTTGGCTATGAAATCGATGTATGATTGTGCTCTGTGAGAATCGCAAAGAGAGGCTCACGCTAAAAGCAGCTCCACAAACTGTTGCTACTGGCAGACTAATCATGAGATTGTCTTCTGCTTAAGCTGTTTGTGTCAACTGCCTTTCTGTGTGATTCTCATGAATTCCAGCGCTTATAAGAGCTACAGCAACTATTGTCGATTATAAAATTGACGACTCTCAGAAAAGCTGATAGATTTCCAATGAAAACTTACCATGCCGTACGCATAAAAGTCGCTTTAATTTTTACTATTCGCTAGATGAGGCGTTGTTACATACGTTCATTTGTATACTGCTCTGCTATGCGATTCTCAGTCATTCAATGCGGACTCAAACTTTGTTTATACAAGGAGTACAAGTAGTATAGCTATTTGGACAATTGTTTCGACTTGCTGGACGCCACCTGGTGTATATAATTGCCTATATTTTAGCCTGTTCTCAGGAATTCAATGAAAGCCACAGACTGCTTATGATTAGCTTAAAAAAGCTACATTAACTTTAACTATTGGCTATACTAACTGCATAAGCTTTTCAATTGAATTTATAGGAATGGGCACCCCTAGTAGTGTTTACATCTATAATGCCCTATAATGCCACTAGAGTGGCTCTATAATGCCATTCTTCTGAATCTGCAGATTTTAGGTTTTCAGAACGAAGACATACGTATATTCCAAAGAACGCCACCTAGTGATTGTCAGCAGAAACTGCGTTGATGTGGCAACACTGGCACAGTGCTGCCATCCGCTCTGTGCTCTGCCAATGCGCAGTCGCGCTTCAAGGCACCGAGTCGAGTTGCAATCCGAAAGCGAATATGGATGGCAATATTTCGTTGGGTTCAGCTCAACTCTCGCGACGACGGCTTGCCAAGTGCTAGTCAGCTAGGCTTGTTGAGTTCTATTTTTTTTTGACTACACTACTGTGTGCGAGTGTGTGTGTGTGTGTGTTTGCTTTTGTTTGTTTCGTTTTTACTGCGCGTTTTTCCGTGCTAGCTTTTCACAGCGTCGACTCTCTTGTGTGTGTGTGTGTGTGTGTGTGTGTGTTGGTGGATTTTCGCTTTTCGGCTTGATAGTGACATTGCTCGGCTCGACCCGCTGCCAAGTTAGCTTTTGGAGGCTACCATCGCCGTGGCTCTGGTGGTGGAATTTCAGTTGCAGCCCAAGCGCCAGCAGCGCCAGCCAAAACAAGAAGCATTTTTTTTTAACACTAACTATTTTGGCTGCCAAGTTGAAAATTATAAACAAAATGTGGTGGCTCGAGTAAAGCAAAAATAGAAAAGTACAAAAAATCAACAACAATAACGTGCATTGATTTGCAACAAAGCCGAAAGAAAAAAAAAAAGAAAACATTTACAAATAAACAAAGGCAAACAGAAGAATGTTTTCAAGTGAAAAGAACGCACAACTTTAACTTAGCTATAAGTAGTTATTCATAAAGAGCAATAACAGCTAACAAATAACAACAACAACAGCAACAGCAACAACAACAACAAGAGAAGCGAACGGCAGCAACAGTGAAAGAAAAAATTCATTGCATCTATTCAGGCGCATAAGGAAAATGAGCGCAAAGGTAGGCCAAGAGCGCGCGCTGCTCTCCCCACTCTCCATGTGTGTGTGTCTGTGTGTGTGTGTGTTGCCATGTTTATTGCAGTAGCAACGCTGCTGTTGGCCAAATGGCTTGGGTTCTCTTAATTGTCTAAATGAATTTATGACAAATGCAAAATTCTTAATTGACTTGGCCAATTCAATTAGCGTTGCACTAGCTGGCCACGCCCCCTAGAGGGAGCTAGCCGCCTCTGATTTCACCTTGTTGCTCCTGCAAACGCCACCCACTTCCCTGCCTGGAGCCAACATGTGGTACATACATAAATTGCAAGTCCTGCACTGGGACTGGAGCCTGTCGAAAATTTGAGCCAAGACATATGTCTAACATATGTCAGACAATTCAAAGAGCGAGAGAGAGAGAGAGAGAGAGAGAGAGAGAGGGAGTGGGAGAGTGTGAACGGGACACTGAATGAGCTTTGCTTGAGGGAGTGAGAGCGGGCGAGAGAGCGAGAGAGAGCTAGGATTATATTGGATATCCAGCAGAGTTCAAGTTGTTCGAAATGCAATTTGGCGCATGAACAGCTGCTGCTGCTGTGGTGGGAATAGCAATTCAAATCTTGAGCACTGGAAGCCACACCAACCAAGCGAATCGTCTCATATATTATATATAGTGTGTGTATGTACACATACATATATAAAACATGTTCATATTTTGCGCAGCTCAGTAAAGTCCATATATTAATCTGTTCTAATACCCTGCCTGACTCTCGCTTCCTCTCTCTATGCTAGGACAAAGGGACACTAATGCATGTGCTGCTATATACATATATATATATGTACTATATATCTACTATATCTATGTACATATATTTTAGCCTTAGTTTCCTTACTAGTTTGCCTACATCTTTGGCAATATTTATAGAATTTGCAGCAGCTTTTCGACATAAACATTTCAATTTTATTCGCAATTTTGGTTTTCAAGCTCAAAATAGAATTTTTTTGTTGTTGCAATTTTTGAAATTATTTTGAAACGATTTTTACACATTTCTTGGTATTCGGCGGTTTTGTATAAACAAAATAAAACTTTGATTGATGGAGTGATTATTGTACAGCTTTTGAGCTAAAGTATTTCGAATTATTTGAATTGTTGACTCTTGAGGCAGCCTGAAGATTTGAGATACTGCGTAGATTAATTGTTGGTAAATCAATTTGATTGATTGATTGCAAACTTCTCTGATATGTAAACAGATTTTCCGCACGCTGGAAAAAGGAAAAGCAATGGATCTGCGGAACGGCATGATTTGATTGGTGTGAAAGAAGTCTATTTGAGTTGAGTTGCTGGAGAAATCAGTCTAGAAATACCCATAAATTGGGCTTTTCGGAAACCAGATCTGAGTGGATACGACTTTTAACAACAATTGAGCTCTAGATAGACTTCTTAGTCTTATGAGTCGGCAATGTGTGCAAATTTTGATATGTTAATCAAGTCAATTCGCTTGTGAAACTTGAGCGGCTATCAAGCAGTCGGTTAAGCTCGACGTCAACGATCTGCGCTTGTTGAGGATGCATATACATATATATCATAATAAATATAATATATGTACACATATATCTCTTCAGCGCTGAAGATGCTCAGCAAGTGCTGCGCGCGAATTATAACTTAAATTATTCACTTCCGCTGCAAGACTTTTTCATTGGACCGAGACTCAAATTCTAATTTCTAAATTCCAAATTTCTGGCCAGCGAATTTCAATTGAATTTCTGTTTACATTCAACATTTCGCATCGGCTCTGTTTACCGAGCAGCGTCAAGCTCTGGGCAAATATAGCTGCCAAAGGCCCGGTGCGACATATGTAAGCCTGTCGTCTCACTGCCGCCCCGCCCTCGCCCCCTACGAGGCGGAAAAACAAAACAAAGCAAAACGAAACGCGCAAAAAAGGAAAACTGCGCAACAGTTTTCATTCGGCTGATGGCGTCGCCGATAAATGGCATATTGTAAGTGAGTGACTGTGTAAATACAGTAGACACTGCCTAAGTGAGCATGCAAATGGAATGGAAGAACGGAAGAACATGCTCTTCTATGCAATTCTCATTAGTCGAACGCAACCCTGAATTGACTTGAGCGCGGTTTGTCGTCTTTTAGTGTTAAAATGGGAAATTTGTATTATTACAGATATGATTATAGCTTAAATTTGGATATTAATATTATACATATTTTAATTGATAACGATATTGAATATATGCAATCTAATAATCTCTAGTAAAGCTAGTATTAATACACCTATTAGATGTCTCTTGAAGAAAATCCAGCTGGAAATACCCTAATGGGTTCCGCTTATACTATAACGAGCTTTTCATAGTATGGGTAATGTACAGTATTAATAATTGATCGACTTTCTCGATTAAATCTATATTGTTATCTATTTTTTGTTTGCTCCAAGAGGCCTACCTATGAAATATTGGCATTCTTTTTGTACGATTCTAGCACATACAGATTATAACCGATAATAGAGTTTCTATGCTTAACTTTCAAGATAAAAGTGTCTAAATTTTAATTAATATCTATTTCTTTCGTGTTCGACATGCCCTAATGAGTATATGAAAGAACTCGTTTCACTATAAAGCCTAAGAGTAAATATAACAAGAGTATAAATTTCACACATAAAACTAATATGCTCTCTTCACTATTTGAGCGAGCATGATTCAAACTGTTTGCCAATTGTTAAACAGCTCAACAGCCAATATGTTCGTCTCATGGGAGTGTTCACTGTAATACTGCTGTCCTGTCCAGTGTGTGCGTGCGCGTGTCTGATGATATGATAAATCTATGTAATTATTGGACATAAATCTATTTACTTGCCACACCAAACACTGTCATTACGGATATATGTATATACATACATACATATATAGATATAGATATACATAGATATAGATATAGTCATATATAATAATTATCTCTTGTGTATTTGAGTGTTCGGGCTCGGATTTTGTAAATATTAGCCAAGTGCTCGGATGTGCCAGATATAAACAATTGACGCACCCCAGATATAGATGAGATATACGCTTCAATTGCCAATGGGCAATAACAATGATTATAATGCGTTCGATCGATTGACAAAAATTCCTTCGAGTTAACAAAACAACAAATAATAATCGAGTTGAGCAGAGAAGGGTAGAGCACTTACACACACACACACACACACACACACACTCACCCACATGTGATGTGTATGTGGTTACAAGAATTGAGTCAATTAATTTGTTTATAGTGCAAAATCATTTGAATGCCAGCAACGAAACGATGAGCCTCTATGGCTCCAGATATATTTCGGCTATATAGCAACGGGGTAGCCGACATCGGCACTTGGCATCGGTTGCCATCGGCTCCGGCTGCGTCGCTTTAGCTATAGGGCCTCAGTGTTCATTCAGTGTATATTCGACGGTCATGGGATGAACATCGGATATCGTGCATACGCGTTATCTCTGGCGCCCCTTACAACATTTCTACACACACACACACACGCACACTCTCACTCACTCTCACTCACTCTCTCTCTTTCTCACTCACACTCTCATTAGCTGTCTCTCTCAGAGCAAGTTGTAGGCGCGCGCCCTGCAAATAAACAACAACACTGAAAGAAAAAAGTCCAATAAAAAACCAAAACAAAACGACTGAAATAAACAAAACAAAACCAAACTGAAGAAGAAGAAGAGTTAAGAAAACTTAAATATTGTATTCAATTAATTTGCGTTGCCAAATTTGTTGCTGCCTTTGCCTAATTGCCCAAACATGTGGCTCACCGATTGCGGCACGGTAGGTGTGAGCTCTGCCTCTCTAAGTGTGTGTGTGTGTGTGTGACTGTGTGTGTGTGCCCAAATATGTGGCTTATCGCTGCACTGAGGACAATTGCAAATGGTTATTAAGTTTTTATGGACCTGAACTTGTAGCAATAAAATCGTAAGCAATTTATATCCAGATTGCCCAATATACATACATATATATGTATATATACATA